TAGCCACCACTATTTTTTACCTCTATGACCTTGGACAAATTATTTAATCTCTTTTAGCCTTAATTTCCTTATGTATAAAATGAGAGTTATAATATTATCTATCTCATAAGCTTGTTGTAAGCATCAAATGAGATGATGGATGTAAAGTACATAGCATAGTTTAAAGAGCTCAATAAATATTTGGTAAAAGTGTGATTAATAGAGACAGGAAGATAAATGGGAGCCTGAGGAATTAGAGAAGGCTTCATGAAGGAGGGGGATCATAAAAGAACATGTATAGGCCAGGCATGGTAGCACATGCCTATAATCCCACGACTTTGGGAGGCCAAGGTGGGAGAGTCACCTGAGCCCAGGAGTTTAAGACCAGCCTGAGCAACATGGCAAAATCCTATCTCTAGAAAAAATACAAAAATTAATTGGTGTGGTGGCGCATGCCTGTAGTCCCAGCTACTCATGGGAGGTTGAAGTGGGAGGATCACTTGAGCTTGGAAGGTCGAGGCTTCAGTGAGCTGTGATGGCACCACTGCACTCCAGCCTGGGGGAGAGAGCAAACCCTGTCTCAAAAAACTAAACTAAACTAAACAAAAAACACACGTAGAGAGAGTTAAAGGAGTTCAGGCAAGGGAGCCAGACACAAGCTCGGACACTTTGTTTATTAGGGAGTATTCCAGGTTCCTGGTGAAGCAGCTTTAATGCCAGCGGTGAAAGGAAGAGGAATAAAGGCAGAATTGGTTCGTGTTGACCTTGCAGATAACTAAAAGCACAGTTAGGATCACCATGAGGTGCTTTGCTTGAACTGAGGGTCCAGTCACTGCCATAAGCATATCAGTGGAGGGGCCAAAGCCAAGAAAGCCACCAGGGTACTCTCAAGGATGTGTGTCACCCTTGTCATCACCATCAGCAGTAGCAGCTGATATTTGTTAAGTGTCTATGAGCAAGGCATTGTGCCAAGGAACAAGGATATATAAGACATTCTATGATTTCAAAGAGATTGTAATTCACTCTAGATAGTACAACAGAGCACGTCACAACTCCACTGATACTTTCTGTTAATAGGTCTTAGGATCCCAGGGTGCTGATCCCAGCACTGCCTAGCGGTGCGCCATTGTGTACATGGGCCTCTATTTCCATGTGACAAACAAATCAAATTTGATATTATAGTTTTCAGACTCTTTGACTGCAAAATCCTTTCCTCGGGGAAAAGCTTCAGATGTTTTAAAGATAAAAGCAGTGAGTCGAATGGCGATAAACAGCAGAATCCTTCCCCTCAGCTCAGCCCCTGACAGGTGCCAAGGAACACAGTTTGAAAAATACTGGATTAGAGCTAAGCAGTGTCAATCTGTTCCAGCTTGAGGACTCTATGGAGGTAGATGTTGATCTGAACCCAAGAAGTTCTATGAAAGATAAGATGTGCTCCCCAAGTGCAGGTTGGAGAGAGATTAAAGCACTCAAGGAGTGTTTTGTTGGGGGTGGACATTGAAGGATGGGTAGATTTAAAGAGATCGAGGAGAGAATGAAACCTACTTCAGAGGACTTACCACCTAACTGGAGATGTGGAAATGCACCCAAGGCTAGGCAAAGAGATCATTTTAAGTAGAGCAGGGGAGTTTTGGAGGGGAGATGGAGTCAGAAACAGGAGACAGGACAGATTATGAAGACCCAGGTAGAGGAAGGTGTCCCACTCCTAAGGCCTCTGGTGCCCCGCCAAATCAGTGGGGTCTGTGACACAAGAACAAGAGAACTATTGAGAAGTCTGCATCAGTTCCCACCGTGGCTATGGCTGGCAATCATCAAGCTTCCCTGACACCTGTCACATCCCTTGTAAGTTCATCAAGTACCACATTCCTAAGCTCTGTTGTCACAAAGTCCTATAAGGGAAAGAGATGGGGTCCAAAGGACAAGGACTTAACACCCAAGACAATTGTGCCCAAATTTTCCAATAGTAGCTAGTATGAGCCTAAGGAGAAATAGAACTATTGTCACAGGGAAATCTGAGAGGCTTAGCAATGTCAGGTAGATCTCCTAATTTAGGAGGAGTTAAAAGCTTTTAAACTACCATCATGTCCTTAATCCTAAAATGCCATTAATCCCCTGTAACACTTCTGCATTCTTATGAGTATGTGGGTGGAAATAGCTATTATCTTCATTAAACTGGGAAGTAGAGGCCAAGGAAGAATCAGTCATGATGTCTAATACAACAAGAAATGTGAGATGGGGATTTGAAATCTGAGGAGACATTCGGCAAAGAAGGGAGGGACAGAAGACAAGGACAAAGGACTGGAAATGAAGAAAATACAAATTCCAACCGAAGTTTCCATCTCAGCTGGGAAGCCTTCCCTAATCCCCCTGTAGAAAGAACAATGCCCTGCTCGGAGCTGGAAATGTCCTAATGCAGCATCCCTCACAGTTAGGTAATAACCATTTACCTATTTCCTTTTTTGGACTGAAAGGTCCACAAAGTCATGGAGCCTGTTTGTCTTGTTCATGGTGTGTCCTCAGCACCTAATGTTCACTGGGTAAAGGAAACGAGAGAGCCTGGGCCAGGGAAGGAAATGAGACTCAGGAACACACAGTTAAACCCGGCTGCCCAGGACCAAGGAGGCCTCTGGTTGAAGCCAGAGAGAAAACTTCACCTCCTTCAGGCTCTTATCAAATGTCACCTTCTCAGAGGGGCCTTCGCCAGTCACCTGCCCAGTTACAAATCACAACCTGTTCCTGCCCCCCATTCCACCCACCATTCCAGCACTTCCTGTCCCTTTCCCTGTTTCTTTCTCACCATGGCACTTGGCACTGACATACACCCATATTACTTCTTTGTTTATTGTATGTCCCCCCAGCCTAGAATGTAAAAGCTGTATGAGGGCAGGATTTCACTGCTGCAATCTCCGTCTCTAGAAGAGTGTCTGATACATAGTCAGTTATCAATAAATATTTGTTAAATGAACAAACCATAGAATGAATGACCCTTTCTAACCCAAGGTCTATGGTAGTCCTCCAAACTTTTCAAATGTAAACACTTCCTCCAGGGTTTCTTCCCTGTGTCTCCCACTTGTGAAGACCCAGGGGAAATACTAATCCCTTATTCTCCACTCGGTCTCTTCCAACCCTCCATCCCTCCTCTTTGCTCTTAACAACCTCTATTCTTTGCCCTCTCACTTCTCTCTCTCATTATATTGGTTCATAGAAACATCCAAAATGGCCAATTTGATACCAGCCCCTTGTGTCTTCACTACCAGAGCCTGCCTCTAACTGAGGCCCCAGGAGCAGAATGCAAGAAGGCTAAGGAAACCCCCAGGGCTAAATGACTAGAGAGGTACCCAGATGTTCCAGAAATCTATGAACAGATTCTTATTTTTCACAAGGCACCACTTCTTGGATCGAGGAATTCCCCTAAACTATGCCCTGTTGTATAAAATAAAACTTCCTTTCCTTTGTCTTAATCTTAGCTTTCTCAAGCCTTAAAAAGATGAGGACTTCCTTATTCTAGTATTTTAGGTAATTGTGATTATAACTATATTCGTATAATACAGGCCTTTCTTGATCTTATAGTCTTCCACTTAACGCCTTCTCCACTGTCATCCTCTCTAAATGAAGAGACTTACTTTTACCACTCAATCCTATCAACAAGCATTTACCCACCATGCCAGCACTGTCTTAGGCACTGAGGCTACAAGGTGCTTACTTTCTAGTGAGGGAGAGAGATAATAAATGAACAAATATGTACTAACTCAGGTGACAGTGATAAGTGCCAAGGAAAAAAACAAAGCAGAGTAGTAGAATGGAGAATTAGAAAACGACAACTGGTGGGAAAAGGTTGCTATTTACAGGATGACCAGGACTTTTTCTGATAAAGTGACACTTGAGTAAATACTTGAATTAAATGAAGAATTAAATCATGTGACTGAGGAAACAGTATTTCTAATGGTGGAAACAGCAAGTACAGAGGCCTTGAAGTAGGAGATTGTCATCACCTTCTAGTTACCTTTTCCTAACATTTCAAAATTACTTCTTACTTAAGGGTTTTGGAGGCCAAAACTGCACTCCATAATTTAGAAGCCAGTCCACTAAAGACTTTTTATAATGATGATGATAAAAAATAATCATAGTTTACATTCACTGAGGGCTTACTATGTGCCAGTCACTGTATAGGCTCATCTGGCTCACAAGCACCAGAGCCAGCATTCAAACCCAGGCAATCTGGCTCTAGAGCCAGGGTAGCTGACAGTATTTTTGTTTCCTTTGCAGTATACATTTCAGTAGCATCCATCATTTGATTCTCCTTTTTAAGTTATTCACCCTTAAAAAGGCATTTTTCCCATGGCATGCTATACGTTAGGAGCTGAGCTGTGAGCTGGGAAAACAAAGATGAATAAATCACCAATGGAACCCTTAGGAAGGCCACAACTCTGCATGGAGGAGAGGCAAGCCAGGAGAGCAGCACAAGGGATGAGTGCTGCACAGGAGGTGGCAACACAGTGCAGGCAGACACAGCCAAGAGGCTGGCAGACAGATGTACACACTAAGGCATGTGCTCAACTGGCAGTACAGCAATTCCTGGGCCCCCTTTCCTGGATCAGAGCCCACTGATCCATATGCATAATTTGGGTGGGTTTCAGTAATAATAATAATCATGCTAAGACATCTACCTACAGAAAATAATACTGAAAGCAGCTAACCTGTCTTGAGCGCCTACCATGTGCCAGCAGAGTTCTCAGCTCTTTGTTGTCATGAAAACTCCATGCTGTGACAGAGATAAGAGGCCCTGTAAAGGCCAGTGTCTTGTATGTTCACAATCTAAAGATGGACATTTACTGGGTAATAGGAAGAGAAAAGGTGGATATCAGGTCTACGGAGATAAGCCTAGAACAAAAGTACTGGCCCGATATTATGGGCAAGAATTCCTGCATTCTGGGAAGACTGAGGTAGAGAGACACTAACAGGAGACCAAGATCCTATAATAAAATCAAGCAAAAGCTGGATTTTCAAAGGAGGGACTCTGCATGAAGCTGAAGCTGCTGATCTGGTATCAGAGACTGGGCCACCCATATAAGGAGGCACAAGGACTGCTTACTGGTGAAAATGTAAGAGTGTAACAAGTGAGTGACTGAATTACAGCTGAATCAGCATATACAGATGGCAGCACAGATTAACATCTACTTTAGTATACAGTGTTTGGTATGCAAGTGTTGCAGTGTCTGCAACACTTCTGTCAGCCTCCCTTCTCACTTTTTCTCCCCTATCCTCCCCTAAGCCCTGAAATGTGCCATCCTCCCCTTCCCTCTTCTCCTGGGACAGGAAGGTGCTGCTGATTCTGATGCTTCATGAAGCTAATGATTTATTCATTCTCTGCCTCAGAATGAGTCCTTCAAGTTTGATGACAGTTTGCAGAACCAGGAACAGAAACCAGTTCTTCTGACCCCAGATTCAACTTCTCTTCCTGACAGTGCAGTTTCATGTGCTTCACACTATATTTCTCACTAAATGTATTAATTTGCATTTGACAACGATTAAAATTCATATCATTTTCCTGCCTATTCTGGATTAAAGAGAGATGTTCACTCAAAACCACCACTGAACAAACAATGGAAATGATATTCACCTGCTTCCCTGTCTTTTTCTCACCCCATTCATAGTCCTTTCGTTGTGGAAATCTCCCACCTCCTCTTCTGCAAAATGCATGGCTCTCCAAGAAGCATTTGATGAGAGCCTTACCCATGATACTAGGTGGCCATGGGAATGTATTATGAAAGGCCAGGTTATGGCAAAGGTGAGAGTGTGGCTTTAAACAAATTCTATAAAATGTTATACTCTCTGTAGTCCACATCCTCAAGACTTAAATTAACAGCACAAATCTTATTAGCCTCACAAAGTTCCTTCATTGTTTCTCAAATAGCATAGTTCAGGGAGCATCTCACCACTGTGGATGGCCAGTGTATTAAATCATAAGAGCAATTAATCTCTGTTCATAAAGTACTTGAGCTCCTGACACATCCTATAAGTGTAGGCCTAAATAAACTTAGGACTGTACCCAAGGAGGTCAGGATCTCAGATGCTCAGTGAGTTTCCAGAAAGGAGATAACAGCCAGGCCACCTTGGAAGGGAAGAAGAGCAACACACTGACTGCATAACCCCCTGTACCAGGTACCAGGCTAAGTACTCACATACTTTAGCTCATTTAATTTCTTCAACAATCCTGAGCAGAACTGGGATTCCCACGCAGATCTGCCTGACCTCACAGTCATGTTCTCTCTGCCTTGGACTGCATCCGTAAATGTGACAAGAGGAAAACATAGAACATAGAGTCCTGGAACAAGTATACAGGTCACATGCTTGTGTTAGAAAGTTTGAATTCTGACTATAGTTTTGCTATTAACTTCTTGTGTGACCCTGCATGACCTTGCAAAAATCACAGTCTCTCCTGAGACAATTTTTTGCTTTTCAAAGGCAGGAAAGCTCTGGATACTTGAAACATTACTATGGAGCCTGAGAGGTTTGAGATGACAGGAAACCTCCCTGCACTCACCTTCACCAGCCCATCTCCTCATGGCACAGAGATGGGACATGAATACCCTGCAGAGGGGACTCCCAGCCTCTTCTCTTGCATATAGCAGGTGCAGCCCAGGTAACATTTTGCAACAAAATCCTGCCTGGGCCTCTCCCTTTGCTGCAACTTTTCCTCCCCTATCCTCCCCTAAGCCCTGAACTGTGCCATCCTCCCATCCCCTCTTCTCCTGGGACAGGAAGATGTTGCTAATTCTGATGCTGCACAAAGCTAATGATTTCTTTCCTGCAGGGTGACTGGGGCCATGTGGAGCATTTGTGACCACAATAAAGAGATTGAAGATTAAAGGAGGATGATTAGGCAGAATTCCCATAGCAAAGTGGTGTGGTAATTTAGCCAAGTCGTGGCTCAGGCACGCAGAAGGGTGTGAAGCCACTGTGGCGTAAGCGTCAGGGGCAAGAGCAGCAGAAGAGATAGCACTTGTCTGGGCTAGTCCCACTGTGTGAGAAGAATTGATGATAATGAAATTTTGTTCTTACTCCAACCTGACCGCAGCTCTGCCATAATCTCTTCCCAGAATCCGTTTGACTGTTAACAGTTCTATCTTCCTCACTAAGCATTCGTCAAGAAGATAAATGAATAAGTGAATGAATGAACCAGGCAACCAGTGGGGAAAACTCTTACTTGGCTTCCAACTCCTCAATCATATCTTCTTGTTTCTTGAATATGCCAAGATTTTGCTAGGTGGACATGACAAGTAGATGTATTATGCAAGCATCAACTGCCCCCACTTATGGGACCAGGCAATAAATCACAGAGGACTGGTGACAGCACCCCTCCCCAGTCCCAGATAATCTCCACCAAAGCCCCTACACCATCCCCTAGTAGCCTCTAATACTCTTGCTGTGCTTTGCTGGCAAAGACCTCAGAAGGATTCCTTTCCTTACTCAATCCTTCATGAAAGCTCCTGGCATTACCTGATTTTCTCTCCCTGCTCTCTCAGGACCCTGGATCTGGCATCCTACTATGCCTGACAGCTAAGGGAATAAGACACAGGCATGAGCTTCTTGGGGACAGTAGGCCATCTGCTCCTCTGGGGAGCCTTTGAATTGACACCTACGAAGAACGGACTGGGCACTGGCCTACCTGAGTCAGAAGCAGGGCAAGATGACCTTTAGAAGCCCTGATGAATCTGCTTCTGACCAATCACTGCTTTCAACTTGCTTGCTTCTCCCCGTACGCATGACCACATTCAGCTTCCCTGCTGGTGAGAGCTGGGGCTCTTAGGCTGTGCCTCAGTTCCCACCTCTCAGTTTGGCCTGGAAACTTTAGCATGCAGATATTTCTGGAGAAACTAAAGCAGTTCCTCTGTTATGTCTGCATGTAAACTCTTCAAGATACCAGCAACCATCTCCCAAACCTCCTGAAATTATCACAGCCCACCACTGGTTCATCTACCAACAGCATCTTCCTGCCCCATACGCTGTAAGGCTCTAGAATTTTCACAAATTACTCTTTTTATTTCCAAGAGCCAACAAGTTACAAATAAGTTCTAAATCCCAAATGAACACTGCTCAGGGGGCACAGACTTGCAGAGGTAAAACGCCATCCAGTTCAGTCACCCACTGGGGTCCCAGCACTATGGCAGGGCTCATGGGAGAATCAGAAGGAGAAATCAGGGCCTCTTCCCTCAGAGAATTCGTCACCTAATTCAGAGGCAAGAATTATACATTGGCAACAACAGAGAGTGCTAAAGAGCCACATGAAATAAGAGCCTAGTTATGTTTTAGAATCTCAGTCTACCACAGGCATTGGAGCTAGAGAGAGCCAGTCAATCTCACATTTAAAGAACACCCACCTTGAGGATGACAAAGAGAGCTTATAGGAGACAGTGAGAGAAAGGAGGAGAAATCTTTCCTTCATAGTGAGGAAGAAAAATATGGTCTGGAGGTAGGGAACATAAGGTTGATTTGCACTTCAGCTATGAGAGGAAATATTCTTTCCATAGGGCATACACCGAGTAAACGACTTTGTAACTTTACTTCATCCTCTTCATTTACATAGGGTGTACCCCAAGTACAGGTTATTAAACTCCCAAAAAATCTATAACAGGGCCCCTAAGCCCCTATGCTCAGGCCTGCTCCCACACTCTGGAGTGTTCTTTCATTTTCAGTAAATCCCTTCTTTCTTTCCTTGCTTTGTGCATTTTGTCCAATTCTTTGTTCAAGATGCCAAGAACTTGGACACCCTCCACTGTTCACAATAGAGCTCAAGTCCAGTGAGATAGACAGGCAGAGACCCAGCCATCTATAAGAATACAAAATAGAACATTATAAACACCATGAAATGACTGCAGAGCATGCGGAAAGAGAGAGGAGAGTCTGACTAGGAAGACTCAGAAATGTTTTCATAGAAAAGGTGAATATTTAAATGTGTTTACATGGCTAGAATTTAGATAGAAGATAGGGAGAAAAGGATCCAGGAAGAAGCCAAGTGAATAAAAACAGAAACAAGAGGAAGTGGAGGGTTGACTTAGAGAACATCAAGAAGTCCAGTGTGGTTGGAAAGAAGTAAGAATACATCCCTGAAAAAATCTGCTTGCTATGGAAGGCCTTGAATAGCATATTAAAGTTTTGGGACTTGATTCTTATGGAAAATTATAACCCTTTATTCTTAAAGGGCATGATAACCCTTCTTGAGAAGAGAGAATTCCTCTGAGAACAGTGTGGAAAATAAATTAGACAGGAAGATTGGAGGCAGGAAGATCTGTTGATAGTTACACAAAAGTCCAAGCAAATAGTAACCAGGACCTCTCCTGAGGGATGACAGGAATAAAGATGAGGAGGAGAGAGAGACATGAAGCAAGTTTATACAGAGTCTCAGAGCACAGGAGACCTCTGGAGGCACAGACTTGCAGAGGCGGAAGTCATCCAGTTCATCCAGCTGTCACTTCAAACCTCTTCCTCATTTTATAGATAAGGGGGGAAATAAAGTCACAATGTGGAAGTGTCTTTCCCAAGTTCACAATGAGAGTGAATTCAGGGCCCTGAAGAGAAGCCAGGGCTTCCAAGTCTCAATTCAAGTGATCTCTGGTTCACCAGGGTGAGGAAAGGCCAGGAAGGGCTGCAAGGAAAATCAGGAGGAGACCTGACTGTTCTCGAAAGGGGAATAGGCAAATGCCTGAACATTGGTTTCCATATACCATATTCCCTAAATTCACCTCTTCCCTTCCTGATGGAATTGATGAGGGGAGGGGTGGCAGTGAGAGAACTGAAAACACTGATGGCACCCCAAGGGAATTGCTAAAATCCCTAAAACACAATGGGAACGTCACAGATTACAAAGCTATTTACCTATCTTCCCTACCCCATTTCCTCCACTCCCACTTTACCTCAAGACATATGCATTCCTTCAGTCACCAAACCTTTATCAGGTGCCTACTACTGTGGGTTTTCTGGTAGCTGCTGGGTCAGAAGATTGCGCAAGACCCTTGGGAGATCCAGAGCCACAGTTCAACTCCACAGCCCTTGCCTCTGCCCAGCTGTATCTCGGCCGGGCAGGTTTAGCCTGTTGGCATCCTCAAGTCAAGGTTTTTAAACCAACCACTCTACTCCAGAAATTTCTTTTAAAAAAAAACTCAAAACAGTTTGGCAGTTCCTCAAAAAGTTAAACACAGAGTTACCATGTGACTCAGCAACTCCACCCCTAGGTGCATGGCCTGGTTGCAGAGGACTAAAAACGTACATCTGTACAAAAAATTTGTCCACGAGTGTTCACAGCAGCATTATTCAAATAGCCAAAAGGAGGAAACAGCACAAATGGCCACCAGTGGAGGAAAGGATAAGCAAAATATGATACACTGTCTATTCATATAATGGACTATTATTCAGACTTACAGGAAAAGAAGTGCTAAAACCTGCTTCAACATACATGAACCTTAA